TTGTTTCAACTGTACAATCACAAACATGCAAGTGCTTTGAACTAGGATTTTTTCCTATCTAAAGTTCATAAGGGATTTTTCCAATTGCTTTTGTAGGCACTCAATTAAGGATATTTGTTGTAGTTTAAAGGGCTTCTCCCTAAATGACTTTGGTAAAGTATGATCACTAGTCATGCTCCTTACCATGTCTCTAAGAATTTGTTTCGTCTTTCAATTACACAATTCATAATGGGTAAACCTAACATAGTGTATTATGGAACAATTAATATTGCATTCCTCTACGAATTTAACAAATGGTCTCAAATATTATTCACCTAAACCATCATATCTATCATAATACTCACCCCACGGTTAGACTTGACACTTTTAATATATTCTTTTGTTGAGTTAGTTCTCAACTTCAACCTTACGATTTTTGGACACGTTTAATGACTTTTCTTTTCCATGAATGAGATGAATGTAGCCATATCTTCAAAAATTTTCTATGAACGTTATAAAATATTGTTGACCATTCCATGCAACCGTAGGAAATAGTCCACACATATCTGTGTAAGTTCTAAGACATCCAAGGTCTTATTGGCCACAAATCTCCTTTTGTTGATTTGTTTCCCCTTTATACAATTGTTACAAATATCAAAATTTGTAAAATCTAAAGGGTTTAGAATTTTGTTTGACACTAGTCTTTCTATTCTTTGTTTAGAGTAGGCATGGTAATTTAACCCGCCCCCGTAGGTACTTGCCCAAACCCACCTCGATTTGGACGGGGAAAACCCGTGTTTATCAAGTTCGGGTTTGGGTTTGGGTTTTCCCCGATTGATAAAATTGAGGGCGGGGGCGGGGCCAGGGATGTTAATACCCACCCCTGCAAGGAGAACAGACCATTTTGAATGGAGAACGGGTCATTCTGCTTGCAGAACGACCCGTTCCAGATGTAGAAGAAACGAGCGGGTGTAGAGCCAGCTCCACGCCAACATGCTACTGACGTTTAGGTAACGCGGGTATGAGTTAGTCATCCGAGCAACTAACCTGGTAGGTTGGTTCTCTCCGTCTATGAAATCGCATTTGACTCACCACCAGCAAGATTTAAAATAATAATATTAAAAAAATAAAGAAAATAACAAGTAGTAGTGAAGATGGAAGTTGACATGGGAAAAGGAAATGAAAAATACATAAAAAAAAAGGGAACTTGCATTTAAGTGTACATGGGAAAAGGAAACGTACCGTTCTCACAAACGTAAGCATGAATGACAGGCTCGCCGTCGTCGTGGAAGCCAAAGCCGCGCCGCAAGCAAAATGCGGAGTGGAGCTCCAAAAGGCGCAGATCTGCAATGTTGGTGTGTATGAAGAAAAAAACATCAAGATTTTTCGAAGGCTTCAAGCCCTGTTTCAGCGGAGAGAACCAACCTACCAGCTTAGCACGTTTAAAGAAGGTTTCTACACTTTAATATAGAAACCTTTTTTACGTCGGATATAATAAAGTTTGACGTAAAATGTAAAATTTACGTGAGACATTAGATACTTCCGACGTAAATTTTACATTTTACGTCGAACCTTATTAAGTTTGACGTAAAAAAGTTCACAAAAATTACAAAAATGTCACTGCGTCTTTTTTACGTCGATTTTGGTTTTGACCGACGAGAAAATAGTGACGTAAAAGACTATTTTTCTACTAGTGGAGACTCGAATATTTTAATTATTTAGCACTGCAAACGAAGATTTTGACATAATTGTGTGCATAATTATATGATATTAAATAAATGAATTCAATTGATTAATTAGGTGGATATAAACAAAATAAAAAAGTATTTAATAAAGAGTAGTTGTAGTGGGTATATAAAGTATTAAACAAAAATATACAGAAAATCATAATTGGAGAACTACTTCTCTTAATTTATATATATATTAAGATAACAAAGAAAAGGACTACTTAAGCATACAAATAATATATATATTGTACTGGCCAACCGAGTTATCGACTTGTCCTTCACCAAACTACTGACTCGGTCAAAGGTTTACCAGCCTAACCAAGCAATAAGCTCATTATTGCCGAGCTTCTTAGCTCGACCATGAAACATGGACATCGGAACACCACATCGGCCCAAAAAGGCCACGCCATCAAAACAAATAAAAATACAATCTTGTCGCCGCGCCGCCCACGTGTTATGGGAACGAGGAGACGGCTATGACACATGGCATCTCGATAGGAAGATGTACGCGAAGGGCCACAGCCACTTGACGAGCTCGGACTTAACTCCTCGACCTACGGTCTTCGGAGCTCGGGGGACTAATGTACTATCCGTACTGCCATGCCGAGCTCAAGCTCAGTATCACAGCGTGGAATAACCTCGGGCACGCACTGGGAGATCTCGGCCTAAGCGAGATCCGCAATCTAATCAGATCATAATTGATCTCGGAGAGATAAAAAAAATTGATTTAAAAGTTGTATATTTAATAGATACAATATATTCAATAAACATAATAATTATCACTATATAAAAAAATAACAGATTATTCAAATATTTATAAAATACTATATTTGAATTAATAAAGAAGGAATTGTATATTTGAATATATTAAGGTAGAAATGATAACTAAACATGCACCATATTGTTGACACACATTCACTTTCAATCCGATATTAATAAAAAAAAAATCTAATTAGACTAGATACAAATTTAATTACGAGTTTTTTTAGACTTGAAAAATCAATGGTAGATATACAAGTTTCTATTTGTAAATTCAATTATGAGTTTTTTCTATTTATAAATTCTTCCTTGTTATATATATATATATATATATATTATTTACATTATTATTTATGTTGTGCTTAAAAATTGTCCACAAAATTCATTTATTGGGAACTTACAAATAATTTAAACCTAGTTAGATGGGGAATACTAAAGACAGATCCACATTTCTCATTGTGGGGGCAAATGCCCCCACTAAATTTTTTATGTTCAATATTTTTTCTTATACATATATATTTTCATAAAGTTATCTCATTTAACTTCCTAAAATTAAGTGTCTCACTATTTTTCATGTTTTTTAAGTGTTTTTTTTTATAGTTATATAATATCAATTATATTTTTTTTATAAATATGATCCACACAGTATCTTAAAATTAATAATTAAAAACTAAACTATATATTAATTATAGTTAAGTAAAGTCACTCAATCGCAATTATATGTTAAACCTTTTCTTCAATGCCGTAGGATTGTAAATAGGTTCGATCAGCTAAAGTTTAGATAAATATTTTATTTGACTCGATCACAAAATATTCTATGACTGATATTGATTTATCTATCATAAAAAATATATTTTATAATGAGTAAGTCAACACCGGTTAAATGATATTTTGATATATTTTTTAGTATATTATTACACACTTTCCATGTTATGTGGATGACACTCGACATAAAAAGTACAAAGTATATTTTACACTAGTAATTTAAAATTAATACTAAAATTATATAATTAAATGTTATAAATTTATACCTACATTACTGGATCGACTTAACATATTTTGAGGCTTAAAACGAGTTTTAAAGTTATTAGGTCTTTTTAAAGATAAAAGAGTGGAAAGAAAATCAACAATCATCTATAAAAGAAAGAAACTTTCAACAAAAAATTATATATAATATTAGAATCGAACCCCAGTTCTTATAATGCTAAGCTTAGATAATAACTAACAAACTAAAATTAGTATTAATACAACTTATTCATTAAGTTCTATAAATAAAAAAAATATTTTGGAGGCTTGAAGTTAGGATTTAGGCAGCCTTATGCTTGAGCCAACCCTGCACATATGTATATTTTATCGATAGTGATACTTTTTCTATATCAATAATATATATGTAACATTTCTTGCTATGCACTAAACTTTTTTTTAAAAGAAAAATAACTATATTTTTATCTGCTAATATATATATGTGAATTTTGAAATCGTTTTAATGTAAAACAAGGATTATTTTCCTTCTTCTTGTTATTCCCATATATGAATCAGCAATTAGAGGAAAAAGAATTCCATGTCTCTATCAAATAATAATGAGTCTTATTTTCATGAGCATTTATTTATGAATAGAGTAAAATGAATATATATACGAAATTGTAGAATATAAATAAGATAAAATGTTTGTATAAAAATAAAAATAAAAGCCGGTTAGATATTAACTTCATTAATGCTACAGAGAATATGACTTAATCTAAAATATTTTTAATTTTGTGATTCTACCTGACATTAATTCTATATGTAAAAAATTGTTTCTATTGGATGTTGATAAAAATCTAAAAATATTCCGTTGCAGTGGTAGTACAGATTTTCTGATATAAATGTTTTAAAGATTACTTAAATTGACATGAAATCATTATACGACATGATATATATAATTAAATTTATCTTGAATTCACTTAATATAATTTAACACACCGTAAACATACTCCTCAAATTTAGAAGAAGACAGGAAAAAAAAGTAAAAAGAATAATTTATTTTGTATATGTTTGGCAGATCCAATCAAAGTTCACCTATCTAAACCTATATTTATCGCTTCTTCTCTTTCTTTTCTCTTTATAGGTATGAAATAATAAAAGTATTTTTAAACTCTTGTAACATGAAATTCAAACATATACATAGGCTCATGATTTTCCATTCTTTTAAAAGAAAAATCTGAATCAGATGCTGAAAAGTAAAAGTTTCCATGTGCTTGGCTCGGATGTAGCAACGTGGTGCAATCACCAGTCGCCAGAGTCACATAGGTTAATGGTATCCCAAGCAACATTGAATACGGTTTCTACCACGTACCTTAGGGCCATTTGTCCCACCTCCTATAAGCCCCAACACATTTTGCAGCTTTTTTCTGTCCCCCAACACACTACTACTAATTTACATTCATGCCACACCAGATCACTCCTACAACACACCTACTTGAATTAATCAAACGGGTACCACCCATCCACCATTGCTAAAGCGAATCTCAGTTTATAATGCAAAGGATGAAGGAATTAAAGAGAAAGATGTTAGATCGCACAGCAGTAGCACCATGTCATAACATAACAAAAGTATAGGGTTACATGATAAGGGTAAGGAGATACTTCATCTCGCTCACTACAAACTCAAATGAGAAATTAAGGGAACAAAAGATAGGGTACACGCAGTAATTTACAGACTCGGTAGTTATATTCACAATTCTAAAGCGAAGGGAATAGTTATAGCTTATGAGGGAGCGACGCCGTTTGGTGAGATTGTGAAACCTTATTAAAAGACAGTGTACGAGGTGAGGAATAATTAGTAACCGAATCTCAAGCTAAGCGCGGTTTTAACGTCCAACCTCCATGCAAAGCCGCCAGAGTCCATTCTCCAAACATCGCAGGGCACGGTGAGCGAGCTTCTCTCTCTCCCACACGTGTACTGCACCACCCTAACCCTGCACGTGAACGAAGGGTGCGCCACCACTGCACTCACCTTCATCACCAGCAACACTCGCCCCTGCCCCTGCCCCTCCCCCTCGCCCTTCATCATCTCTCCGTAAGCCTCGTTCGTCCACGTCACCCTCCCGTAACCGTCCGATATGAACCCCGGACACGTGTCCCTGCTCAGCTTCGCTCTCCGCTCCTCGTCCGTACTCCCCAGCCACTCGCCCTCCACCCACGTCTCCGTCACGCACTCCACCGTCACGCACGAGCACCGCCCTCCCATCGCGCCGTAGGGTTCCGCCTTCGTCATCGTCATGCTTCTCTTCTCCAAACCCGGCCACACCGCCACCTTCATATTCAACTTCTTCTTCCCTTCTTCGTCGGCTGCAGGGCGAGATAGATCCCTCGCCGGAGAAACCTTCGGATCGGGAGTTTCCGGGAGCAAAGGAAGAGTCACAACCGGCGTGGATGTGTTCACGTTGTTCTTCCTACGGCGGGTTCCACGTTTGTTATTATCCCTTACGTACTTTCTCTTGGGGGTAGTGCTCTTGAGGAAGGCGTCGCCGCTTTCCGACGAAGAGGCGTCGGAAGCGGTGGGTCCGGCGACGGGTTTGGGAGCGATGGGGCGGAACCTGAGCATTATTTTGTCGACACCGGGAACGTACCTGGCGATGCAGCAGCCTCCTCTTCCATCCATGTGAAACGCAGCGTTTTGTTTATGAAAGTAATATGTTTTAGGATGGGGAAGGGGGGGTTGGATTTATAGGAGGTGTGAAAGGGACACGTGTAGGAAGAGTGGGGAAGGGGATTGGTTGGGGAGTGAAACGTGTCGCTGTGTAGGGGGAGAGAGAGTGAGGAGTGTACAGTGGTAACGGCACGTAGACTGTGAGCCAGCTTCGGGCCTTGTCAGAAACTTTGACCGTTGGATTCTTTGGTTCGGATTGGGAGGCTTCCAGATCGTGGTGACCACCACGTGTGTGATGGCCAATGGGAACCCACGTGGACGGCCCGATAGCGACACCGATCCCAGTTCAATTTTCATGACGTGAGATGAGATGAGACTACATTTTACCCAACTTCTTCTGATTGCCTATTAAAGTAGCAACCAAAACTAGAGGTGGACCCACTTTATGCTAAACTCTCTTCTTTGGGTTATTCACCTACGCAAGCTGCTTTCTTTCGCAAACCCAAACCCTACTTCTCCCCAACCTCAAACGTATAAATAATTTAACATAAATGTGCTACCTAATGTAGTACACCATTCAAACCGTAGAGGACAATTTCTCCTACATTCCATCTCCATGTATAATGAAGAAGATAACAATGATATCTCACTTTTTTTAATTAAATTTTATTATTAATTAAATGAAAAGTGAGATCATAATTTTTTTGTGATTTTTAGTCAAATTCTACCAATACGAGAATATGTTAAAATTAGTAGTGAGAGATTAGAAGTAGTATACATGGTTTCATAGGTTCTAACCTTGTGAGTGTCACCATTATACAAAAAAAAAATTCCTTGGGACTCAAATATAAATAACTAACTAATTAATTTGCTAATTAAGAAAAATAATTTACATAATGTAATTTTACTGATCTAAATTTAAATTAACTTTTCTTATATTCTGCATTGAAACTTGATATAGAAATAAAATAAAAAATTATTAAAAAATAGTTATCACTAGGAATGGCAAAAATACTTGCATCTACGGGTATTTGCGGATAAAATTTGTTATGGATAACAAATAGATAGACTAGGTGAGTATCCCTAAATAATGGGAACAAATAATTTTTTGCCCGTTTATAAACGGGGTGGGAGCGGGCATGATGATATCTATACCCGCGGGTACTCGTTTAATAATATTTCTTAAATATCATAATTATCTTTGTACCACGTAACCCTAAAACTACACTCTCTCATCTTTGTAATATGAAACTTCCACTTACTTGTGAGATTGATGTATTTAAGTTATTGATTATCATGTATTTTTATTAGTATTTCAACAAAATTAATGTTAAATACAAGTTCAAAATTAATATTGAATTTTTATTTTTAATATTTCAATGACATTAAATATAAACTTAAAATTATTTGTAATGTAATTTTTTAATTTCTTAAAAAAATTATAAATATCCATGAATATCTATGGGTATTCAAGAAATTCATAGATACTCGTTTAATAGATACTCGCGCAGATATGAGGTGGGTATGAGACCAATTTTCATCTAGCAGGACAGGGAGAAATTTATTATTACTCACCCCTATGGGACCCCATTCTCATCCCTAGTTATCACATCATTTAGTTAATATCATATTAAGGTTAATATTATAATTTTATCATTTAAAAATTAATAATTAGACTAAAAGCGCATATTTTATAAAATTGGAGGCTTAAAATTATAAATTTAAAATTAAAGATCAAAATTATATATTAAATATTATAAGAGACTTAAATTACGATTTAACCTAAAAATAATACAGATATACTTTGAGACACCTAATTTAGTAATATTTTATAGTTCCCTTCTTGTCTTTTTCCTTAACATGGAAAGCTCATTGAGTCTTTGTAAGGACCAACTCTATTATAGAACAATACATTTTTAAATATACTCAGTGCTTCATAAAAATTAATTTAAAATTACAAATATATATATATATATATATATAATATAATATAT